GTAGGAAAGAAGGCCACACTTCCAACTTCCTCTTCCAGTTTTGTGTACTTTTCAGTGGAGGAAAGGGAAAATAACCACCCTCATCACCTCATGACCAAGAGGACAGTAAGTGTGGGGGCTCAAGACACAGGACCTTTCTAAATCCCTGCATTAAAAGGCTAGATGCTTTTTGTTTAATGTTCAGTTCATGGCTATGTGTAATTCTTGCTGGGCTTTTTCAGTGTACTGCTGATATGCTAAGTGGCATTATGAGTTGTGTTTTTTCTTTCTTTCTCCAAAGTGCCTGAAGATGGATTTACATTACATGTCAGACTCTAAAGGCATCCTTGGAACACTTACATATTTTTCTTGGTGTAAATAATTGGAGTAGCGTCAATTGTGTCAGCGATCTGTTTACCCAGGATACAACAAACACTGCAGGGGAACCATAACTGTCACATTACTAAGGTGCATTAATAAAATGACGTGAGTGTGTACGCTAAGTTTGTATGCTGTGGTTCAAAGTTGTATTTGTGTCTTTTTTAAAATGTTTGCCAGCCTTTGCAAAGCTTAGGCTCAGCCAGGAGGGCTGTCTGCCTTCTAGTTGAGCATCAGGTTTGAGGAACACAAACAAGGGCAAAGCAAATGTATGTTGACAATAAGACAAATGCAGAGAGGAAATAAATAAATGTGTCAACATGTTGCTAAAATAATGGAAAGAAATTATAAATTGCTTCTTAGTAAACATCTATCAATCATGGGTGAACGCTGAGCAGTGTGGCACAGTGGTTAGTGTCAGGCTAGAACCATGGGACAGGAGAACCGGGTTCAAATCCTGAATCAGTCATGAAGTGCACTGGGTGATCTTGGGCCAGTCACTCTCTATCAGCTAATAATAATAATAATAATAATAATAATAATAATTTATTATTTATACCCTGCTCATCTGGCTGGGCTTCCCCAGCCACTCTGGGCGGCTTCCAACAAAATATTAAAATACTGTAATACATCAAACATTAAAAGTTTCCCTAAACAGGGCTGCCTTCAGATGTCTTCTAAAAGTCTGGTAGTTGTTTTTCTCTTTGACATCTGGTGGGAGGGCGTTCCACAGGGCGGGTGCCACTACCAAGAAGGCTCTCTGCCTGGTTCCCTTCCCTGTAACTTGGCTTCTCGCAATGAGGGAACTGCCAGAAGGCCCTCGGTGCTGGACCTCAGCGTCCGGGTAGAACGATGGGGGTGGAGACGCTCCTTCAGATATACTGGACCGAGGCCGTTTAGGGCTTTAAAGGTCAGCACCAACACTTCGTGCTCGGAAACGTACTGGGAGCCAATGTAGGTCTTTCAAGACCGGTGTTATATGGTCTCGGCGGCCACTCCCAGTCACCAGTCTGGCTGCCGCGTTCTGGATTAGTTGTATTTTCCAGGTAGCCCCATGTAGAGCGCATTGCAGCAGTCCAAGCGGGAGATAACCAGAGCATGCACCAGGCAGTCCGCAGGAAGATAGGGTCTCAGCCTGCATACCAGATGGAGCTGGTAAACAGCCTAAACTACAACACAGGGTTGTTGTGAGGATAAAATGGAGAGGAAGGAAACTATGTACACCGCCATCTTGAACTCTTTGGAGGTAGTAATAATAAATAAAGGGTTGTATCCCACTAAGTTTTCCTCTGAGTGAGGAAATGAATAAACCTCAAGTTAGTCTTGCTCATTAATTCCAGCTCAGAGCAGGACTAGCATTGAGTACAACCCAAATAAAGAACTATTTAGCAGAGAAACAACTTTCTTTTCGAGTAGAGGTCTTGTCCCAATGAAGAGAAGGAAGGTAGCGAGAGAGTGAGAGAGATAAAGCTGTATATTGACAATAAGTAAAGTGGGCAGGGAGGAATTTGAAGAATGCAATTATAAAAGCATTAAGACTACCAGTGGAAATGCTTTTAGATGCTTCAGAAGCAAGAAATAAACCAGGGAGGGGGCCTGACAACGAGACAAAGGTTCTGAAAGGTTATCTGAAGTATCTGAGGGATACTTCAGAGAAGTTAAAACACATTCATTACACTGATCATGACTATGGGGAAATGCTGGCCAGATACCTGAGACTTGGTAAATGTTATGTTTCTTAAGAGTGCAGAAGAATTGGTAGGAATGTAAAAGTGCCCGTGCCCCCCCCATATATATGGACCTGGGGCAAATATGAAAATTTAAGAAACTGTCATGGGTACCACAAAATAACCATTTCACTGAGGAGAAAACGGTGGTGCTCATAAACACCCCCCAATTAGGCAAAACACCTTCTAAAGCAAATGAAACATGGAGAAGAAGAAAAAGCAGACCGCTCCCCTCCACACAAAAAACCCATGTAGGTAAATGGTAAAAGTAAAGGACCCCTGGATGGCTAAGTCCAGTCAAAGGCGGCTATGGGGTTGTAGCGCTCATCTTGCTTCAGGCGGAGGGAGCCGGCGTTTGTCCACAGACAGCTTTCCGGGTCATGTGGCCAGCATGACTAAACCACTTCTGGAACAATGGGACACTGTGGTGGAAACCAGAGCACACAGAAATGCCATTTACCTTCCCGCCAAAGCGGTACCTATTTATCTACTTGCACTGGTGTGATTTCGAACTGCCTGGTTGGCAGGCGCTAGGACAGAGTAACAGGCGCTCACCTCATCGCGGGGATTCGAACCGCTGACTTTCTGATTGGCAAGCGCAAGAGGCTCAGTGATTTAGACCACAGCACCACCTGCATCCCTTTACCAAACAACAAATAAATATAAAATGGGGAAGGGGAAGGGACAAGGGTGGTGTCTGAGGGTGCCATGTTGGAGATCCCAGCATTAAGGAGAAGAGTAACAAAGTGTACAGCCTGATTTGGTCAATAGCACCCCAATGCTGGGCCCTAGGCATGTCCAACCAATAGAAACATTTTGTAAAACATTTTATGCAAGGAAAGAAAAAGTGTGTGTGTGTGTGTGTGTGTGTGTGTGTGTGTAGAAATTCATCACAAGCAGTTCAGCCTTACTGTGTACAAAAACCACCAGTGTGACAGATGAAGATGAATAACGCAAAAATAGAAAACCCTGAATACTGCCATTTTTAAAAGATGTAATTTAAGCCTGGGCCTTTGTATTATTTGGATGTGAATGAATTGAACTCTGTCATTCAGAGATGTAAGATGAAATTGCACTTTTAAAAAAAAGATATGAAAGAACTGGAAAGTGGGGAATTAATATTCATGTGCTCATAGACCCTAATGACAAACGATGCCTCAGATGTAGATTGAAAATTGACTTCCATTTGCTTATGATGGGTTTTGTATTTTAGGATATTGGAAAAAGGAACGAGAGAAAGGCAGGCCCTGAAATATCTGTTATTAGACGTGCTTGCGGTAATTGGAATATGTATCCATTTTCTTTACTTGTCTCTTACCAGTTTTGTGAATGACTCATAAATCACAGATGCTGAATCCAGCCGGTACTTGGGGGATTCGCGACCAACCAGCTGAAACACATACCAGTGTAAAAAGTAAAGTTCAGACTGTTTCAAAGTATCTTCATTGCTGACAGCAGCCTAACGTTGCACCATGTATGCAGTAACATTGCAGAAAGAAAGACATATCGGGTTATGGAAAGGGCAGGACAGATATTAAAATCATAGAATTGTAGAGTTGGAAGGGATCCCAAGGATCATGTAGACAGGGGCGAACGAAGGCGTCGTGACACCCGGGGCGGCAAACCGCTATGTACGGCACATGTGCGACGGCGTTACGTACAGCGCGGCACATGCGCTGTACATAGAGGTTTGCTGCTGGCGCCGGGATCCTCTGCTTGCAGCTGTAGCTGTGAATGGAGGATCTTCCACATGCGGCTGCGGCGGCACGATGGCTGCTCGCGCCGCCGCGAGTCCCTGTGAGGTGCCTTCTTATCACCCCCCAGACATGGCACCCGGGGCGCACTGCCCCCTGCCCCCTTGTTGCGACACCATTGCATGTAGTCCAACCCCCTGTGATGCAGCCAATTCATTTTAAGCACCCAATCCATTTTAAGGGTCCATATGAGTGCTGTGCAAGCCGCCCATCTGTGGCCACATTGTTCTTTCTTTTATCAGATCAAAATGATCAGACAACAGCAAAAGTTTCTAGGTTTATTGAGGGTGCAATGAGATTAAGGGCCACTACCTGAACGATAATCTTGGTCATTTGATTGTCCTTTTTACCCATTGTTGTCTTTTTAATTGTATATATTGCTTGTTTTATGTTGCTATGGCTGTTGGCTAATGTGAATAAAGTTTATCTATCTATCATCTATCTATCTATCTATCGTGTGTGTGTGTGTGTGTGTGTGTGTGTGTGTGTGTATAAAATAGGCTGTGAGAGCCAACTTATTTTATCATTTCAGGGTGGTCAAGAGTGGTGTATGTCTGCTTCGTCTCCTTTCAACTGTTCTTCTACACCAGGGTTTTCCAAACTTGGGTCTCCAGCTGTTTTTAAACTACAACTCCCATCATCACTGACAACTGGTCCTGGTAGCTAGGGGTGATGGGAGTTGTAGTCAACAACAGGTGGAGACCCAAGTTTGGGAAATCCCGTTGTACACTCTAAACCTTTCCCAGTGGCCAGTGCTTCCAGAATCTCTGTTTCGGGGTGGGATTCAACCACATACCAGCAAATTCAGGTTGCGCAAACCAGCTCCCCCCAAAGATTGGATTTTCTGGGATAAGGAAAGAGGTGGGGAGATATGAGATAAGACACTGTAAGCAAAATCTCCTCTGAGAGAAACAGCACACCACCCAGACCCATTACATTTTGGTTGCTATATCAATTGCAGACTTTGGAGCCTTACTATAACGATTCGCAGCTCAGACCACCTCATGGTTCCCCCCTCTTAATTTCCACATCAAAAAAATTCTGAGTGGATTTTTATTGAAAAATCCCCACATGGAAACAGGATGGAATGGACTTTAGTCCCAATCCTTGGCCTAAAAGAAGAAGAAGAGTTTGGATTTGATATCCCGCCTTTCACTCCCTTTCTCAAAGCGGCTAACATTCTCCTTTCCCTTCCTCCCCCACAACAAACACTCTGTGAGGTGAGTGGGGCTGAGAGACTTCAGAGAAGTGTGACTGGCCCAAGGTCACCCAGCAGCTGCATGTGGAGGAGCGGAGACGCGAACCCGGTTCCCCAGATTACGAGACTACCGCTCTTAACCACTACACCACACTGGCTCTCAGGATTTCATCATTCATTCCATCCCCCACTGAAGCTCAATTCATTGTTGCCCATCCCAAGAATATATTGGGACCCCCTTAAGCTCAATCCCACCCATCTGCCATGAAAGAATCCAACAAGAAATAATGAAAAACAGATATAGGAGATTGCACCCTCCTCCTGTAGATTCTCACTAATGCAGATTTATTAGTATTTCTTCACACATGTAATCTGCGCAATTTAATGAGCATTTTGGCAACAGTTGCTCTTGTTTCTGGAGCAACTTTTTGTTTCTTCAACAGCATGTTTAATCTTTTAAGGATCATTGGATTAGATGTTTCCGGAACCATGAAAAAAAGAAATCGCCGTGTTATCTGCTAACGGTTTTCTCCGCGGTCAAGAATTTGCACTTTATGAGTTTATTGCACGCTGACACAATAGCTGTTCCTGTTTACCTATTATTTAAGTGAAAAAGTCAGGAAACATTCTAAAATCAAATTCACTGGCACCTTTTGGAATTGGACGGCTGGCACTGCGAATGTAATGATTTTCTTAAAAATAGGGGAAAGTATAACTATAACACGCCTACCTCCAAAACTCACACTTTCTGTGAAATTTAGGCAACTCTCCATTTCCCCGTATATTACAGCTTTGGCTTATGCATGGTTGCAGAGTTTTGTTATTAAGTTCTTAATTCAGCCATTATTTTTCACCACTCCACAATGCAAATAAAATGGCATCAGTGAATACATTGTAGGTTCTATCCAGCTGCTCTGCCGTCCCTTCCAATTTCACCCTCCATGTGGGCTTTGTGTCATTTAGGGAGTCCATTATTGGTCTCCTCAAAATTCTCTCATTTTCTCTCCCTCCTCTTTCTCCCACTAGCAATAATCACCACAGGTGAGAATGATCCTGACCACCCTTGGGGGTAATGAGAAAAAGGTAAGCATTTTTACATGCCATGGGTTTCAGTGGGAGAGAATGCTCATTAAATCTGTTGAATTCAAAATTACTCTTAGTTCAGAACGTCAGGCAAGAAGCGACATGTCAGAAATGTATGAAATTCTGCACAGTGTGGGGAAAGTAGACAGAAAGTAGTATTTATTCCTCTCTCATATAGCACTAGAAGAAAGCATTTCTTCACAGAGAGCAGAGTTTAACTATGGAATTCACTTCCCCGAGAGGCAGTAACGGCCACCAACTTTCATGGAGGACCACACAGATTCATGGAGGAAAAACTATAAATTGCTCTTAAAGAAAAAGCAATTTACAGTGGTACCTCGGGTTACACACGCTTCAGGTTACATACGCTTCAGGTTACAGACTCTGCTAACCCAATTTGGTTATAATCAGTGATTTTTTCTGGGGGTATGTAGGGGTATGCGTACCCCTAAACATTTTGTGAAACTAATGGGAGAAGAAACTAAAAAATAATAATTAAAACAGTGAATCGTCAGTTCCATTGCTACCCTCAATGGCAGCCTCATTTCCTGTCAAGGTGTTTCCTGAGTCTCAGACTGAAGCGGGCGTTTAATGTGTGAAGTAGGAGTTGGAATCTAGCATGGTGATTGGTCAGTTTTGTTGCTACCACCTCCGATGGTGGCTTCATTTCCTTTCCCAGTGATTGTCTTGAGTCAAAATGAGACTACAATGGTACCTCAGGTTAAGTACTTAATTTGTTCCGGAGGTCTGTTCTTAACCTGAAACTGTTCTTAACCTGAAGCACCACTTTAGCTAATGGGGCCTCCTGCTGCCACCACGCTGCCAGAGCACAATTTCTGTTCTTATCCTGAAGCAAAGTTCTTAACCTGAAGCACTATTTCTGGGTTAGCGGAGTCTGTAACCTGAAGCATATGTAACCTGAAGCGTATGTAACCTGAGGTACCACCGTACCCCTAAACATTTTTTAAAGAAAAAAGTGCTGGTTATAATAAGGCTTACATTGGATTTTTGTAATTGAAAACTAATAAAAATTATTGCAAAAAGAGAGAGAATGAGTGTGACTTAACCGTTAAAAGGTTGAGGTGACCTGCGTTCAGATCCATTCTCAGCCAGGAAGCTCACTGGCAGAGCAATCTTATACATATTTACTCAGAAGAAAGTCCCACTAGGTTGAGTGGGTCTTCTTCCTAGCTTAGGTGTGTTCAGGTTTGTAGCCTGGGTAACCTTGGGCCCAATCACTATTACACAGCCTAACCTCCCTCACAGATTTGTTGTTTTGTAAAATATGAAAACAAATCCATCACTTTTAAAACCTACATAACTGGGCATATTTAAAATAAAGTTGGCTCAAGTGTCCTCCCTCCCTCCCTCCTCTCTCTTTTGCAAATGCAAAGTAAAAAAAAGCAGGAAAACCTGATAACTCGTAAGGACTCCTCTGAGGAAGATTTTAAAGAACCATTAGAGCCTTAAATCACTTCAACTAGTTGGAAGAAAGTTTAAATTTCTAAATAGTAAAAGAGAAAGAAAACTATTCCAGGATCTTTTGAGTATCTTCCTGATTGCAAGGGAAAATCTATGAGCGCTTAGCAGCAATTTAAATTTGCATTTTCAGTTATCCCTGCTGAGGCCATCTAAGATGAAACAGTAGGTTTAAATGTAATTTACTGCAGGAGCTACTCAAGACTGCTCTAGCTACACACACAGAACTTGCAATTATTTTTATGAATACTCCTTTGCCAATTGCCAATTTAATTTTTTTTTTTAGCCCGGGGGGCGGGGGGAAACCTAACTGCTTGAAACCTTATTCCCAGTCAGCATATAAGAATAAGATGCCATGTGTTGAAAAAAAGCACATATCTGACAGTTTTGCCCCCAGTAAGGCAGATGATAAGAAAAGCACAAAATCTTGTGAGGTAAACACTTTTTTTCTTCTTCAGGAAAGACAGATGCTAGCACAGTTTTTATGCTGAACAATACCTGTAGTTCTGCCCCCACCACTTCTCACACAGAGAAGTTAACTCTGTGTTGGAAAAATATTGTGTGAAAGCAGCCTTGAAGGTTTTGCACGAAGTCTGTAATAGTGTGGGACACCAGGGATTTCTTCTCAGGACCCTTAAAAAACAAGGGAGGACAGGGAGTGGGGTGCGCTATATGAGATTCTGGTGCAGAATTCGGGCTTTGTAGGCAAAACATGCCAGGTTCAATCCTTGGCAGACCTGGGAAAGAATCCAGTCACGGTAGACCACACTCTTCAACATGGACGAAAGGTCTGATCTGCTTCAAAGTAGGTTCCTGGTTTCCTGTTTAAGAAAAGGCCTTGGGCAGAGTAGATAGGACAGGTAGGATTAATGGCAAACACCTAAAGAATTTGTAAGGTGGGTGTGCTGAATCTGTAGTTCAAACTTATGCATGTTTCTCCAGATGCAAGTCCCATTCGACTTACTACCAGCCAGGTGCGTTTAGGATTATAGCAATGGCAGACCCTCCAAGTGTCCCTATTTTCCAGAGACGGTCCAAGATTTACAGAAGCCATCCCAGTTTTTGATTTGATCCTGGAATGTCCATCTTTTCCTTAGGACGTCCCAATTTTCATTGGAGAAATGTTGGTGGGTATGGAGTTATGCGAGCCCCCTGAGCCAAGGAGGTAAGTAACTATACATCCTTTAGAAGACATCTGAAGGCAGCCCTGTATAGCAAAGTTTTAAAATGTTTAATGTTTCATTACGGTTTTATGTATGTTGGCAGCTACCCAGAGTGGAAGGGGCAACCCAGTCAAATGGGTAGGGTAATAATAATAATAATAATAATAATGATGATGGAATAGGACACCCCTATTTTTATTGGTGACACGGGTGGCGCTGTGGTCTAAACCACTGAGCCTCTTGGGCTTGCTGATCAGAAGGTCGGGGGTTCGAATCCCGCAACGGGATGAGCTCCCGTTTTTCGGTCCCTGCTCCTGCCAACTTAGCAGTTCGAAAACACGTCAAAGTGCAAGTAGATAAATAGGTACCGCTCTGGCGGGAAGGTAAATGGCGTTTCCGTGCGCTACTCTGGTTCGCCAGAAGCGGCTTAGTCATGCTGGCCACATGACCTGGAAGCTGTATGCCGGCTCCCTCGGCCAGTAAAGTGAGATGAGCGCTGCAACCCCAGAGTCGGCCACGACTGGACCTAATGGTCAGGGGTCCCTTTACCTTTACTTTTACTATCCTTAACATTCCCACAAGCAGACTCCCACATTAAAACCTGCCCCTTCATGTTTGTTTAGCTACAGTTTCCCCCCCAACCAATTGAAGGAAACATTTGGAGGTATTAAAAAGCAGAACTAGAAACTAAACAAAAGTGGCAGGATTGTCACCAAGGTCCACACTTCTGCGGGTTCTCAGCTAGGGAATCTGCCATGAGTTCTGAAATATGCTGACTACTGTCAACTTCCATGCACAGCTGTTTATACAGACCTCCGTGGTTTTGTTTGGATAAGAGGCATTTGACCAAAGAAACCCCACCCCTGCCCTTTCAACAAGGCTGTTGATATAGCTCGCTCTTTCACCGCCTGCAGGAAGTCATGGGCAATGACGCAATATAATGTTCACCATTTTGCGTCCTGCGATGAACCATAAATATTCAAGGCGCATAACATCAAGTCCAACATGAGCAACACTTTGGGATGGGAGATCTTTACCACACCTGCACTGCACGCACATGTTTCCTCCGCTTTCCATCCTATCAGATGCACATTATGAAATAGAATAAAATGTGAATTATCTAGCACCAATAAGAGATCAGAGCAGGACTGCAGGATCTGATGCCCTCTGTTGCTAGACTACAATTCATGCAAACCCTGCCCATTAGTTATGCTGGCCAGGGTTAAAGAGGATTGAAGTCTATCAATGTCGGGAGGTTTCCCATTTCTAGAACAGATGCACACCTGGCAGGGCAAAATCTGTTCTACTTTTTTGTCCTAGAATGAGTACCTATAGCATGTGATGGAGAAAAATAACATGGTGTACCTGACACAGTGCCAGACATTTTGCTGATGAATGATGCCCAAATTTTGCCCCCTTCACAGAGAATGGGACTCATTTGCACTCCCACAATACGTGTGTTCATATTTTTCCATCTATATATTTCATGGGTTGTTGGGGTTTTTTTAAACTTACCATTGCCCATCACATGCTTCTATATTTACATGAATAATTCTACCTTAAGACCAAGCCTGACATCACTCAGAAGCATGCCAGGTTTATTTTTAATTAATAGTTGTCATTGGCGGAGGGTGGGGGGAGGCATGGCAAACATTTTTAATTGGGATTACAAAGTGCAGAAAGGGGAATATTACCTCTTCTCCCTACAGACAAAATCCCAATGAAAATTTAGCTCCCTTAAATAATAATAATAAAACCCTCCTATTTACCTTCAAAAAAGGACTAATCATTATATGGGGAGGGCAATTTTCACTGGGATTGTGGTTGGAGAGAGAATGTTCTTCTTCCCCTCCCCATGTGCTGTAATCTAAATAAAAATCCCCACCTCCCCCATGCCTTCTATCATTTTCAAAAAAGGGGAGGTGGACCTGATGTGCTTATTAATGGTGTGTTTAGTACAGGGCCGGATCAAGACCTTTAGAGGCCAGTATATATCTAATTCAAAACTTAAACAAGAATAAAACGTAAAATGAAATTTTACTTTTCGAAATGAAACGAAACCTACAGTAAGATGAAAAATAATGTTTATTTTTGTAAACTTTACTTATATTCGGGGGGTGTATCCTGCTTTTTCTAACTGCAATTCTATCAGAGCCTCAAAACTAATCTTACGTAACACATCTACTTCTAAACTTAGTGGATATAAGGCATCCAGCTGGCCTTGCTGCGTAGTTGTTCCGTTCTGATTTTTAATATATTTCAACTGAGAAAATGAATGCTCAGCCGAGCAATTTGGGACCATGAATGTTAAAAATCCAACAATGGGAAATTTCTTTGGCGCCCTCCTTCCCTTGATGCCCTAAACATGTGCTTATTTTGCTTAATGGTTAATCTAGCCCTGGTTTAGCATCATGTCTAGTTTGTCTCTTAGCAATTGTTCCTAAGTTAACAAATAATGTGTTCTTTAAAAAAAAACCCAGCTTTGAATCTGCACTGCACAAAATACTTCCAAAAGCTTCCTTTCCCCCACTTTCCCGTTGTTCTTGTCCTCAAGCCTCTCCTTTCAGAGACGCAGCTCTCCGTGAGCTGCCGCTTCTGCACAGTTGCAGACAGTTGCAGTGCCTTGCAGCTTGTGATACCCAGAGACATTCTCCCAGAGCGCATTTGCCTGGCTTCTCTGAACTCTCCACTCCTCACACCTCTGCAGGCACATCTTCTGCAGATAAAGGTAAAGGACCCCTGACAGTTTAGTCCAGTCACGAACAACTCTGGGGTTGCGGCGCTCATCTCGCTTTACTGGCCGAGGGAGCCAGTGTACAGCTTCTGGGTCATGTGGTCAGCATGACTAAGCCACTTCTGGCGAACCAGAGCAGCGCACGGAAATGCCATTTACCTTCCTGTCAGAGCAGTTCCTATTTATCTACTTGCACTTCATGCTATCGAACTGCTAGGTTGGCAGGAGCTGGGACCGAGCAACGGGAGCTCACCCCATCGCGGGGATTCGAACCGCTGACCTTCCAGCTGGCAAGCCCAAGGCTCAGTGGTTTACACCACAGCACCACCTGCACCCTTGCCTTCTTCTGCAGATAAGACTACATAAAGATACACCTGGCACAAGCATGCATGCAAAGCAAGCATGCAAAGTAGGTGCCCAAACTCCAGAACAACCCACACCGACCCCTCATCCCCTCTTTTCTTTGAGGGGCACAACAGCTCTCTTCCAAAAGGAAATGATACTAGTTGTGAGTCTCAGTCAAAAAAACCCTGTTTTCCAGCCACATTTGCTCACACTGAATATTGTTTCCCTCCAGCCTTGGGCTCTGGCCAGACTCTAAAACCCATGCATTTCTGTCTTGATGTCTACAGTTAACTTGCATTTCTTCATTATCCTTTTGCCAGCTGGTGATATTAAAATATACCATGTCCTAAGGGGCTGTATCAATTACACGAGCATTAAAAAAGAAAAATCAAAGGCAAGAGCAGAGGCAGTTTTTCTCCTTTAAAAAATGAGCAAGTGCTTCTTATAAAATATTAAGCTTCGCACCCCCCTCCAAATTGTAGCTTTTTCAGATGACATATGCTGAGTACGAGTATTCCCCACAAGCTGTGTGTGCTTATTGCCTGAATGTTATTTCAACGTATGGTCTGTAAAAAACAGGGGCCGGCAGGTAAGGGCTGCTCCACAAGTTAGGTGGCACGTGAGCATGAGCACATAATGTCTGAATGAGACCTGAATGTCTGTATATACATGAAAGCCGTGTCCCAAGAGCTGCCATTGGCTACAGTTCCCTAAAATATACGTGTTTCACAGAGACTAAGCCTCTCGTTTCATAGGTAAGGGTATTCCATGGGAATGATGGGTTGAGACAAAGAGCTGTTATAAAGAAAAACAGCTCCTTTTCCCTTATGGGGTCCCCAAGAGCCCATACAGAGTCCTTTTTTAGGTTCTCTATCGGTAGGAGAAAATAACAGAGGCAAACCAGAGAATATTGAGAAGCAAAGCAGCTAGTAAGCCTGATCTTTATTAAAGCTGTTGCAACAGGGCACTCCTCCCACACGCAGGAGGCAGGAAGAGGACCCCGAACCACAAGCCCTTATATAGACTTTTGAACTGCCCATCTTGGAGCACAAGACCACCCCCCCAATACATCATACATACATCAGAGAAGGGGCGGATTACAACAGAAATCTGAGTGTGTTGATTTTATCCTGTTTGCCAGGTTACCTGATTGGATTACCTGGGCATCGTGGCCACTCTCTTGTTATGATAACTACTCAATTCCTGAATCCAGGTCACAGGTCACAGGCTCACCCTATTCATATCTTAAATGTGCCTTTGAGACAGGATTTGTGAGCAAAGACACAATGGGCAGGCTCCCCATTTCCTTCGACCTTGCAAAGAAATATTTGAGGTCAATTTGGAAGAGAGAATGGTTTCAGGATTTTTCCTGTACTGATTCAGACATGTGGTTTATATATTTATGTATGTGTTTGCCTGGTACATTTATTTTAGATCATGGGTGGGCAAACTAAGGCCCAGGGGCCGCATCCAGCCCCATCACCTTCTAAATCCGGCCCGCGGACGGTCTGGGAATCAGCGTGTTTTTACATGAGTAGAATGTGTCCCTTTATTTAAAATGTATCTCTGGGTTATTTGTGGGGCATATGAATTCGTTCATTATTTTTTTTCAAAATATAGTCCAGCCTCCCCCCCCCCAAGGTCTGAGGGACAGTGGACCGGCCCCCTGCTGAAAAAGTTTGCTGACCCCTGTCTTAGACCTTATAATTCTTATAACAGAGCAATGCCATCTGATACATAAAGCATGAATTGCTCCCGAAATGAATATCAAAAGCATAAGCCAAGAGTAGCCAATTTTCTTTTGACTACAACTCCCATCATCCCTGACCCTTGGCTGTGCTGGCTAGAGCTGATGGGAGTTGTATTCCAACAGCATCTGAGGCCTCCCAAGTTGGCTGCCCGTGTAAAAAGCTGTTGGTGAGGCATTGATATATACTGTGAAGTCTGATATCTTTCTTTTCCATCACACTGCAATCCATAAATGCCTCACTCCTTGAGGTGGAGGAGCTAACCCAGAATGAGGATAGCTTGGATAGCTCAGCTGGGGAGAGCGTGGTGCTGATGACGCCAAGGTTGCAGGTTCGAATCCTGTACGGGGCAGCTGCATATTCCTGCTTTGCAGGGCGTTGGACTAGCATATCCTCAGGGTCCCTTTAATCTCGACAATTCTCTGAGATGAGGTAGCAGCATTGGAGATGGGAGGGACATTTGGTTCAGTTTGCATTCTAACGTGCAGCTACATAATTTGCGCTTAAACAAGGGGAACGCAAAATGAAGCCTACCCTTTAGAATTGGCATTTCCCCAAACTGCATGCAAAAATTTGTATACTAAGAGAAATCCCCACATCACTCTGTCACTGCGTCCTAAGAATGGGCTGGGGTGTTTTCTCCCCATAAATCAGGGCTGCTGCTGCTGCATTATTATTATTTAAAGTGCAGATTTGTAATCTGCGCCAAGCAACTGCTGAAGGCAGCTGTCTCTCTCACACTTAATGGCTGACCTGGCTGTGCTTCAAACTACATGCAGTCATAAAGCATTTGTGTACAGGATATTGTGTTCATTTTCACTAAGCTCATGATGAACCCCATGAAGGTGAGGGGGAGTGAAAAATCTCCCTTGCTCCAATACTGGTGCCTTACAATTATCTGAACTGTGTGTGTGTGTGTGTGTGTGTGAGAGAGAGAGAGAGAGAGAGAGAGAGAGAGAGAGAGATGAGAAAAAAGAATACAGTATTCAGGATTGAGGCTGGGAGTGGGGGAAATGATATTTAATATTCTGCATTCTCCCTCAATTGAAAAGCATTTTGAAACATGGAAACAATAGTAGAATTGTTGCCGTCAACAATACTGGTCAAGGCTTCAGTGATACTCATACAAATCATGAACAATGCATTCATCAAGTTGGAAAACTGAGGCTTTGTGCGATTGAAAAGAGCGCTTTTGAAAAGTAATTGAACAAATGTACTTCTTCCCTTCCCTTTTACAGTGCATTCCTCGGGGGTTAGCAAAATGGCAAAAGGCTACATACTTTATCGTGCATCAGCAATTTTTTGCATGTGCAGCCCTACAGGAATGAAACTATAGCTTTGTTTCACAAGGAGTTTCCTCAGCCCACAGAGTAATAAAGCAATTCTTCAAGCCAACAAAGATGGAGTATTTTAACCAAAGGACATTCCTCAGAGATGAGGCTCGCTGCTGATTAGAAAAGGCCCATTCTGCAATTAAAATGGTGCCGCCAATTTACATCTTGAAATATTTGGAATGGTATCACAGAAGGCTCAGAGCAGCTGTCAAGGAAAGATGGTATTTTCTCATAAAGGCCTCCTTCAGAATATGAGCTACCCTTCCAGTTTTGCCTAGTAGGAGATTTCTTAAATGATCCTTAATCGTCAATATAAATCAGAAAAAATCATAACAGAACAGACAGCCCAGGGTTAGTTGAACTTGTACAAAGCAGCAATTATTTGCTCAACAACCTCTCTAATGCACTTGTATCAGGGTTTTTTACTTCTTCATGAGTTCATGCCACATAACAATAATGGATTTTTAAAAGTGCTTGCTCTTTTGTTTCGGAAACAGATTTATCATTCTGTGTTTTAAATGGATTAGGAAAACCTACCGTAAACTAAAACGTTTAACTCCACCAAAAAAATATTCTTGATCGAACATAGATGTAATAGGAGAGACCTATTGGGAATGTCTCACTGCGGCCATAGTTCATTAGTTTAATGGCAGAGGCCTAGGCAAGCAGAAAGGCACCTCTGTTTTACGAGGTATGCTCCCCCGCAGACACTCCAAGTATCCCTATTTTCCAGGGACAGTCCCAGATTTACAGAAGCCATCCCTAGTTTCTGATTTGATCCCATAATGTCCCGCTTTTCCTTAGGACGTCTCTATTTTCATCAGAGAAATGTTGGAGTGTATGATAGGACATCCCTATTTTCGTCAGAGAAATGTTGGAGGGTATGGAGTTATGCGACCCCCCACCCCACCCCCAACCAAGGAAATAAGTAACTATACAACCTTCAGAAGGCAGCCCTGTAGAGGGAAGTTTTTTTAATGTTTAAAGTTTTATTATGTTTTTATATATGTCAGGAGCCACCCAGAGTGGCTGCAGCAACCCAGTCAGATGGGCGGGGTGTTGTTGCTGTTGTTGTTAATGTCCCTATTTCCATCGGATAAATGTTGGAGGGTATGTGGGAGGGAATAATTCCACAAATTATTCCCTCCCACTACAACAGTGCGGGCTGGGGGTGGGGAGAAGGCAGTGAGCACACTTGAAATTTTGAGAACATGTTGTGAGCACCAGTCACAAAATGGCTGCTGTGGGGGCATCGCATGGAACAACATTGCTATTGTAGAGTTGTTACTTAACCACAAAATGTCTGCCACATCCAAAAGAGAAAAAAAGAGAGAGAGAGAGGACCACAAGATGTTGTGTGCATGCCTCTTCATCTGCCGCCCCATCAATGGGAAAAGGACATCTACATCAGCCAATGCTTCCCTTGCTGACAGAAGCTCTTTGCACCTTCTCTGTTCAAAACAGGAGGAACAGAAGATGCTCAATCCTGGTATACAGTGAAATGTGGGGATACCTAAAGGGGCGTGTTCAGGAGGGGCTGAGCCGGTGCAAACAGGAACTAAGCAGAACCAGCAAACGGTCTCTCATGTATCATGGATTTCTGAGGGCATATTTACCAAGTCCATTCATAGGAGGTGCTGGTGTGCGCACTGGCATCCATGAGACCACTTTGGTGTTGTCTGCACTACAGATTCCCCACTGCCACCGCCCCATCCCATGCCATTCCGGAGGGTCCCCCAAACTTGAGTTGCATTTCAGAGGACACAGTGAAGCAGAAGGGGATGAGAAAGCCCCATTGCCCAGACAGAGTTTTGCTTGCACTACTTTGGATTCAGCTCATTGTACAGACCCAACAAGTTCAGAATCAGAGTTCCAGAGTGTTGTAAACAAAATCTGCCCTTCTTCCCTTATGGGGTATCCAAGGGCCCATATAGAGTCCTTAAGTGGGTTCCCTACATCACAGAAAGGGTGTAACCCAAGACCACACCCCACAAACATCATACCTACATCACAGAAAAGGTGGTCTACAACAGAAATTTGAATGTTGTTGTTTTTCCTGTCTGCCAGGTTCTCTGATAATGCCTTATTTGATTGCCTTTCCTGGTAGTTTGGCCATTCCTTTGAAATGGTGATTACCCAATTCCTGAGACAATGGGAAGGTTCCCTCACCCCCTCCCTCCTTGCAGAGAAAACATTTGGTCAGTTTGGGAGTCAAAATGGTTTCAGGACGGTCTTCCTGTGCTGCTCCAGACATGTGGTCCACATATCTATGTACGTGCTTGGTTGGTACATTTATGAACATTTATTATATATATAAGACCTTAATTTTTTTAATACAAGAGCATTGTGTTTCATCACCCCAAATTACAAGCGGTTGTGCAACCGACTACGCCTTTAATGCTACGCAGCCAATAACCGTGATTGTGGAGTCCAGGAATGGTGGAATCATCATGAGAATCTCTGGGCATAATTTGGGACTTGCAGTGAACGTTAGATGGAAAATCCACTTGCAAGCCTATCAATGTAATCAGTCGCTGAGTATAATGAAGTACCAAATAACCTTCCTGGGATTGCAGCCAATGGAACAAATTTTCTCTGGGTTGGCAAACGAGAGTCATTCAGCAAAAGGGAAGAAGAGAGCAGGTGAAGGAAAGGGAGGTCTGGTTTTGTGGCTGTTTTGCACTGCAACTGCGAGTGTGAAAAATCTGGAATATCCCATTTGCACTCTGCTGGGTTGTACGAACAATGATCTCATCGCCACCCAGCTGCCTCACTTCAGCCCATTACTTGGAGCAAATTGCATGCTGCTTCAACATTTGACCTTGGAAGCATTTTTAAGAGGTAGGAATGAAAATCCATTAGATCTGAAAAATGTGGGGGAAATTATTTTTAAGAGGGTTTGTAGAAAATAAAAATAAAGAACAGTATAGGAAATAGCCTGCTAAACAACACAAATACTTTCTAACCACCCAGTGGTAATAAACCATCATTAGGAAGTCAGGTATAATTTGAAGCATGTTTATAGAAGATCAACGTTCAAGTTCTTAAACCTTTAATGAATCAAAATCACCGACATTAGACTTCAATAGATTTGTGCCCTCACAAATGGGGGGCATAAAAACCAAAGTGGAGATCTCAGCAGAAAAGATGGGTGGGATTCTGCTTATGATATAGGCTGTTCTTGGGCCTTGGCACCAGCTTCTACTTTGAGCCCCCCAAAAATGGGCTACAGAAGGTATGCCGAACCTCTAGAATAGTGTGAGAGGTAGTGAGGGAGGCTGCAGGGGGAAAGGGAAAAAATTGATTCTGTAACCCACATGCTGCAAGTTAATTTGTTTTTCAAAATAACTACAGTGGTACCTCAGGTTACATACGCTTCAGGTTACAGACTCCGTTAACCCAGAAAAAGTACTTTGGGTTAAGAACTTTGCTTAATGGGGGGTGCGGGGGTGGGGGGTGCCCCAGGTTCCATCACGGAGGGGGGTGTCAAAAAGGAACAATTACTGCCCTACTAGGGCGGTTCATAAATTATTATTTTTTTGAAAATGCCTGCTCCAAAGGTCTTATCTTACTACACTAGGGATTATGTAGCTATACAGTGGTACCTCAGGTTACATACGCTTCAGGTTACATACGCTTCAGGTTACAGACCCAGTTAACCCAGAAAAAGTACCTCGGGTTAAGAACTTTGCTTCAGGATGAGAACAGAAATCGTGCTCCAGCGACGCGGCGGCAGCGGGAGGCCCCATTAGCTAAAGTGGTGCTTCAGGTTAAGAACAGTTTTGGGTTAAGAATGGACCTCCGGAACAAATTAAGTACTTAACTTGAGGTACCACTGTATTCTAATTAAGACTGAGCTTTTCAAAATGGACAACCATTGAGGGAAGGATTGGTCTTCTAGGACAGCAATTTTTTCAATTATGAGCAGTGGGAAGAACATGGACATATGCTGACTGTATCTAGCATTCCATGTCTTCGGAAGGGCAGGATCTGCACAGAAGAAGAGTTTGGATTTGATATTCCGCCTTTCACTCCCTTTAAGGAGTCTCAAAGCGGCTAACATTCTCCTTTCCCTTCCTCCCCCACAACAAACACTATGTGAGGTGAGTGGGGCTGAGAGACTTCAAAGAAGTGTGACTGGCCCAAGGTCACCCAGCAGCTGCATGTGGAGGAGCGGAGACGCGAACCCGGTTCCCCAGAATACGAGACTACCGCTCTTAACCACTACACCACACTGGCTCTCCAGCATTAATCCTCCCTTCTGTTTGACCACAGATATGTCAGGGATGGGAAGCATGTAGCTTTCCAGATGTGGTTCTTCAACATCCATCAACATCACCAATGGTCAGGGGCGGTGGGAGCCAAGGTTGGTCCAATCGTTAGGCAGAGTGAGGCAGAGGGCATCCCTCTACCATCTCTCCTGAATCTCTCTAAGCTGGATGCCCTGATTCTGCAAAGCTAGTTGCCATCAGCTGCAGCAGAAGATGCTATCCCATCCCCAGTCTTCAAGTATGACTTCACCGCCAGTCAAAAAGGATTCTACCCATGGAATGGGATGGCACCATAATTCCTTTTTGCCTCTGGCGGCAAAATGTCTTGGGCTGACGCTTATGGGAACTTTAGTCCAACCACATCTGGTTCCCAATGGCTAAAACAGGCGGTGATATCATGGAGGACGAAATTAATGGACTATGCAGAATTAGACAAACTAATAGGAAGGATTCGAAATCTGCGGGACCAGAAATTCACAGAAGACTGGTGTAAATTTACAGACTATTTGAAAAGTAATAGTGACGATCAAACTACGTTTGTGGGTTTGCAAGAAGTTTTGTGAGGTGAATTATTGGAACTATTGCAAAAATGGATAAAGGGGAGGATGATTAGTTAAGATAATTAAAGGCAATATGAATATAAGAAGTGGTTAAAACGGGGGATCATCAGAGGTGCTGATGGGAGTCCATAAAAAGATTGTACAAGTGGTGAAGTTTTGTGGTATGTATTATAATTCATATGTTAAAATTATTATTTAAACAAAAACAAAAAACAGGCAGTGATATCATTCCAAGAAAGGAAGTAAAGAAACACTTAAATTTCCAGGCAAGACATTCTCCTTTGGGCTGGAGTGGTTGTTTTTTTAATTGAAATTCACCACAGCTCACTGACGGTGCAATTCCCAGATAAATCTAACGTACAGCTGCTGCCTTTCCCCCCTTCCCAGAGCTCTCAGGAACAACATTTCATGCTGGATATGTTGGCATCTGATGAGGACTTTGGGGCAAAAGGGTACCATTTTTTCCCAGAACTTCCCATTGGAGCAATGCTACATCATCATATAGGGTGTCTTTAGAGACTGAGGTGGGGGAACAGCAGTTGCCAAATGGAGAGTTCTGGCTGTTGATGCCTATAACAGCCAATTTTATCCCTCATCCTAAGATTCACAAGAACCTAGAAAGTATCATTTTGAAGAACAGCATTGGTTACATAATACAGTTATACCTTGGTCTTTGAACAGCTTAGTTCATGTCACAAACCCGGAAGTAGGTGTTCCAGTTTGCGAACTTTGCCTCAGAAGCCGAACGCTCCTGCAGCCAATCAGAAGCCGTGCCTTGGTTTCTGAACGTTTTGGAAGTTGGACGGACTTCCAGAACACATTCTGTTAAAAAACCAAGGTACAACTGTACAGTAATCAAAACTGTGATGGGCAATCTTGGGACATCCATTCTGATACTTTTCAAAGAGACTTTAATGATTGGCATATTCAATAAAAGCAACAACCAGGTTTTAGAATTAAATCACTGGTGAACTTTGCTTTCCATCAAATATAGATTGCTTTGTATTTTACTTTCAATTAAGCCTGCCGTTTGACTCAACACTGGAACAAAGTGTTAATTGTATGGAATGTCTTTGATTTAGCAGATGTTCGGTCAGTTGTAAAATCTGATATTAATTGCTTCTAAAAGAGAGTCCACTGAAAGCAATAAGGACAAAACAGATACTGTTGTACCGTATTCCTAAAAATTAGAGCACAGTTTTATTCTCAATGCGTTCTTCCATTCAGAAGACAAAAGACTCCTTTTCTATATTAATACAAACCATAGCTATGCACTCTCATGATTTAAAGATATCATTCTTCTTTTACAATTCCACATGTCCACACAAAAAAACCCCTGAAATGAATATTATTTAAACAGAAAGAGGATAATTGTATGATGCAACACATGTAAGAGATTAGGAGAATACCCTCTTTCCATAAGAATTTGGTCACGCGCATTCCTAATTCCTGTTCAGGACTCCTTGATAGTTAGACCTCATTTAAACTATACATTTAAAACAGTATCATGCCCCTTTAAACAGTTGTGGCCTCCCCCCAGGAACCCTGGGAAATGTAGTTTGTTAAGGATGCTGAAAGTTGTTGGGAGGACCCCAGCAGACAAATTATGTTGGAGAATGCTAATTTCAAGTGCACCACCAAATTTCTATTCAAATTCAAGTTCAGAGTGGAGCACATTAAAAAAACAAAACAACCTATTTAGCTCACCACTTTCTCTAGATTATTTTGCATCTAGGCTGTTTTCCTAGCCTAATTTCTCCTCGAGGGCTCAATGAATGCTAAATTCCATTCATACGCTGCGTTAGTTGTGCAATTGCTTTCCTTTCCTTGCTTAAAAACATACACACAATTATTATTATTATTATTATTATTATTATTATTATTATTTGGTTAACACCACATTTCACTTTTAGTATGCGGGTGGTGCTGTGGGTTAAACCACAGAGCCTAGGACCTGCCGATCAGAAGGTCGGCGGTTTGAATCCCTGCGATGGGGTGAGCTCCCGTTGCTCGGTCCCAGCTCCTGCCAACCTAGCAGTTCGAAAGCACGTCAAAGTGCAAGTAGATAAATAGGCACTTGCTCCAGCGGGAAGGTAAACGGTGTTTCCGTGCACTGCTGTGGTTCGCCAGAAGCGGCTTAGTCATGCTGGCCACATGACCCGGAAGCTGTATGCCGGCTCCCTTGGCCAATAAAGTGAGATGAGCACCGCAACCCCAGAGTCGGTCACGACTGGACCTAATGGTCAGGGGTCCCTTTACCTTTTTACATTTCACTTTTGGGGATCTGATTTGACTTCACTAAAAGGCCCAGGACTCCAGGAGATGAAGTTGGTGATCATAAGGGCTTAGGAAACTGTTCCTCTGGCTTAGTATAGTCTACACCAGGGGTCAGCAAGGTTACCAGATGATGGGCCAGTCCACGCTCCATCCGTCGGAGGATGGGCCAGAGTGTGTGTGTACGCGCTCTCTTCTGGGTCAGAGGAGCGCCCGTGCGCGTGCGCACACACTATTTCTGGCTCTCCTCCGACCCGGATGTGTGCTAAAAATAACTTGTGTGCATGCACACAGGCACATCTCCGTCCCGCACACATGCACGCACGCTATTTCTGGTGCACATCCAGGTTAGAGGAGCGCCTGTGAGCATGTGACCATCAACCCAGAAGTAGGTCCCCACACCGCACTGGTAAGAGTGGGTGGCGGGCAGCAGGGTTCCCCATGGGCTGGTCAGACGAGCCCCGTGGGCTGCTACCAGCCCATGGGCCTTAGGTTGCCGACCCCTGGTCTACACTAATTGGCAGTGGTGTGCCAGGGCTTCAGAGAGGGGACATCTCAAAGCCCACTTGGAGATGCTGCAGATTGAAAGCTATCAAGTGTGCAGCGCATGGAATTGTGTCTTCCTGTCGCATGAAGAATGGGCGATACAGTGGTACCTCGGGTTAAGTACTTAATTCGTTCCGGAGGTCCGTTCTTAACCTGAAACTGTTCTTAACCTGAAGCACCACTTTAGCTAATGGGGCCTCCTGCTGCTGCCGCACCACCAGAGCACGATTTCTGTTCTCATCCTGAAGCAAAGTTCTTAACCCGAGGTACTATTTCTGGGTTAGCAGAGTCTGTAACCTGAAGCGTCTGTAACCTGAAGTGTATGTAACCCGAGGTACCACTGTACACAGATGGTTACAAGTTTCCAGGGCTGGCCTAAGACAATTTGCTGCCTGAAGCAAGTGGTGCCCTCTGCCCTCCATGGTACACAGTGCCCAAGGCTGGTCAAATTATTGTGGCACCTGAGGCAGAAAATCCTGTGGGCAGCCTTCGCCTTTTCTGGCAGGGAGCACATTAACAATTTGCCACCCTTTCATGACAGCTAAGATCAGCTGCTTGAGTTGGCCATCTCATTCTGTCCAGTGACAGGACTGGCCCTGAGTATTTATAATATGAACTTTCAGAGTGTGGTCCAAGATTTTTCTCCTTCTCTGCTGAACCAGAAGCAAACTCTTTTTTGAAACGGATGCCTAAACTGGAAGTGTGGGCCCTGCAAATTAGGTGAGTGCAAATAACCTTCACCCCCCAATGTGAATTTTTGACTTCAAAATAAGCCCGGTTCCATATTGTGGGTTTTGGAAAAAATTGAATTTCCCTGTAGTAAGCTTAAACAAACACTTTCTTCTGCTGAAGCAAGGAATGACGCATTAAATGAGCTGGAAAGTTTTCTTTTTCTTTTACTGTCAAAACAATTTCCAACCTTAGACTAAAGGAGCTGGATGTAAATAAGCCGGCGGGTGGGGTGGGGGGTGGGGAGCACAGCTATAGAGAACGTACCGTATGCAAATATCAGGCACAACAAAGACGCTGATTTTTTCTTACGTCTGAGACTATCTCAGGGGATGTGCCAGCATAATGCACTGCGCAGCATGATGCCTGTTTAAGTAAGCTCATGCATTAATGAGTCCTACTTTGCAAAACCTTAATGAATTGTAAGCTGGTTTTTTTAATTGTGGACAAAACGCACGAGTGCAGGCTCCCCCCCCCTTTGTTCTTTTTAAAGGTCTCTCGATTATGACATTAACTTTTTTTTGTAACTGTGTGGTTATTCTGAATCTATTGTTGATGTGAACGTGGGGCATTGTGAATTCCCAATATAACCTGCCCCTTTCATTTAAGGAAAAGAATCAATACTTGGACCATTGGAACTGGTCTGGTGCGTTAAGTGGGGATTTTGCAGGATCTGCTCTGATCCGCAACACAGTAGATCTCTCCATTCCAAGGACAATGTTCCTATAAAATTAACTTACCATATGATTTTTATTCAGGTACGGTCCTTTCATTAAAAATGGCCTGTTACTGCCCAGGATAGATTTAATGCTTGACCTGCAGGCTTTTCTCTGTCTGCTTCAATCAAATCTAACTCACGAGTTGGTGTAGCAGAA